ACGAACACAAAAATATAAATGAAAATTACGATAAGTTCCTCGAAAGGTAATAACTTTATTGAACCAAATCTTTTCGAAACGACGAATCAAAATAAAATCAAAAAAAAAATATTGGTTAACAGTGGGAATGAGGAAATCGTGTAAACATAAAATATTGCTAAAAATACTTACAACAAAAACGAATGACTCAATACTGAAACTACATTATAAAAAATATGCAAAAACGTAAAAAAAACTATAAATAATGCTAAAAAAATTCAATATATTAATAAATTAAAACATTCAGTTAACAAAATCAAAACTATGTGGCAAATAATAAATGAGAGAACAAATAAAACAAATGCAAAGGAAAAGCGCAATATAAAATTAAAAGTAAATGATGTGATAAGTTTAGATCCAAAACAAGTTGCAAACGCATTCAATAATTTTTTTGCGTCGATTGGTGAGTTCAACCCTGATCCATCAGGCAGCTGATGCAACAGGCAGCAGCGTTCGCGGCCGCCCTGTTCTCCGACCGCCACAAAACACTATGTATCTGAGCCCAGTCGACTGTCCCGAGGTGTATAAAATTGTTAAAAGCTTAAAGAATAAAAGAAGCCACGGCATAGATGAACTTTCACCTCATTTAATCAAAGAATGTGCAGACGAATTAACCATACCATTGACAATATTAATAAATCAATCCTTTAACGAAGGCACCTTTCCAATACGACTAAAAAATACATAAAAATACATAAAACCTGTTCATAAAAAAAGTTAAAAAAACCGATCCAAGTAATTATCGCCCTATTGCCCTTTTGCCGACTGTATCAAAATTTTTTGAGAACGCCATTTGTAACCGTGTTACTATATTTTGTGAAAAATACCAGATATTTGATGATTGCCAGAACGGCTTTCGAAAAACCAATCCACAGTTTTAGCAGTGTATAAATATATTAATGAAGTTGTAAAATTTTAGATAGTAAACAATACGGTGTAGATATCCTCTTAGACATGACGAAGGCATATGATAGGGTGCAACATAATATACTATTAAATAAATTATACGAGTTAGGTATTCGTGGCCCCGCTCATAAATGGGTTTCGTACTTGAAGGATAGGCAGCAATTCGTTGAGATCGAACACTTTGATACCACTACCAAAAATATTTCATACGTGCACTCCGATTGCAAGGTAATAAATGCATCAATACCTCAAGGAAGTGTCGTTGGATGTCTTTGATTTTTGATTTACATCAATGACCTTCCTAAAGCTATAGAAGAAACGTCTGTCTTGTTTGCCGATGACATATCGCTATTAACTTCATGCCAAAACGATACTGATATTTATGAAAAACTTCATTTACTTATTACCAAAATTTGAGACTGGTTGAATGATCATAATCTAAAAATAAATTTTTCTAAAACTAAAATATTAACTTTTCATCCCCATCAAAAAACCTCACTAAATTTAAAATTGGATTACAATTTTTTTTTTATTTTATTTATTTAGGTAATCATACAGCGTTTTCATCGTATTTACAATACATATTATCATACAGTAAGGCCAATAGAGATTACACTATTTTTATCAACTAATAATTAAGCGTGCGTGTGTGCTTGAGTAAGTGTGCATGCGTCTGCGTGTGTGTCTCTCTCTCTTTCTCTCACTCTCTCTCTCTCTCTCTCTCTCTGTGTGTGTGTGTGTGTGTGTGTGTGTGTGTGTATGTGTGTGTGTGTGTGTGTCTGTGTGTAATTATGCCCTATTTTTGTTTACAACATCACGTTTGATGCGACTCTTGGATAGGTTGAAAATATCCAAGTCAGCGTAACACTTATTATAGTTTTGAACAATACGACATAGAGTAGAATTTTTTGCGTAATTTGTGTTTGCTCGTGGTACGTGAAATAATGGCGTATGTCTAGTGCGGTATTTAGGTACTAGTATCGATATTTTAGATAACAGGTCTGGACAATCTCTAATACCAGACCATAAACCGTGTACCAAGAACATATCATGTTGAAGTCTTCTGAGTTCCAAGGTATCTAAGCGGTAAAATTTGCAAGCATCTTCGTATGTAGCAAAACTATTGTGATCTTTTGATGATATAAACTTAATGAACAGTTTTTGAATTGATTCTATTCGATGCTTATGCTTAGCATATTTTGGAGACCAGATTGTATTAGCGTATTCGAGAATACTCCTTACGTATGCAAAATATAGAGCTTTAATGCAATTAATACTGCTAAAATCATTACAGACGCGCTTTATGAATCCAATTTGCTTGTAGGCTTTGTCAACAATACTGTCTATATGTTCATTGAACGTTAATTTTGAGTCCAGCCTGATACCAAGATCTCTAACTGATGATACACTCTTTATAGTGTTATTGTTAATTGAATACTTGTAATCTATGAGCTGTTTCTTGCGACTGAAGGTTATTTTGACACATTTTTCACTATTAATTGTAATTCTATTTTTTCTATAATAAGTTTCTAGGTTTTTTAAATCGTTTTGAATCAGAACACAGTCATCAATTGTTTTTATTTTTAGATAGATTTTTTTATCATCTGCGAACATTAAATAGTTTGAATGATAGAAGCAGTTACCGATGTCAAATAAATAGGTGTTATAGAACAAAGGTCCGAGTATTGAGCCTTGTGGGACACCAGATGTTACCGAAACAAAATCACTACGAGCACTACCCAATAACACTGCTTGCCTTCTGTTACTTATGTATGAAGTTACCCATCTGTGCAAATCACCATGAATACCCAAACTGTAAAGTTTACGCAAAAGGATGGCATGATCAACACGGTCAAATGCTTTTTCAAAGTCCGTGTATATTACATCAACCTGCTGCCTGTCGTCCATGCTCTTATATATATATAATTGGTAAAAATAGCCAAATTTGTTACGGTTGATCTTTTATTTATAAAACCATGTTGTTCATTTGGTATTGATTTTAAGATTATAGGACTAATTTGTATAAACATAAGTTTTTCGAAAATCTTTCCAAATGTGTTTAATATGGAGATTGGGCGGTAGTGCTCAATTCTGTTTTTTGGTCCACTCTTATGTATAGGTATTATTAGAGCTTCTTTCCACTTACTAGGAAATGCTCCATAGGTGTTAACAGACATATTAAAGATTATTGAGAGAGGCTTGGCCAAGTGTTTTGCACATTTATGAATAAATAGGGGAGGTATGCCATCGCTACCAGGCCCTGTATTGGTTTTAAGTGTTTGTAGAATACGAGAAACATTTTTGGTACTAAAGTAAATATTATGTAATATATCGTTTGATTCAACGTTTGGAATATGGGAATAATCGTAAGAAGAAGAAGGTTTCTGAAAAACACTTTCAAAGAATTTATTAAATCCCGCACACACGTTCGTTTCATTTGTGTATGATTCATTTCCTAATTGTAATGTATTAGGGTATGTAGAGTTGCTATTACGTATAGATTTTAAATAAGACCATAATATTTTAGGGTCATTTTTTAAGAGACTTTGAATTTTATCTAAGTAGCGCTCGCGGCACTGCTTCTGTAATTTCTTTTGTCTAGTACGTAGTATGCAAAATTCATCATAATCACGAGGATTTTTATACTTTTTCCAATTTTTATGTTTTAAGAGCTTTTCTCGAATAATATGCCTTAGTGATTAAGAATACCATACAGGGTAATTAGATGAACGCGATAAACATACTTGTTTATCGCGTTTGGTACAAATTTATCAATTATTAAATTTAGTTGGGAATAAAAATTTTGAACTACGACATCAATTGAGTTGCCACTTAACAAGGTAGACCAGTTGACTTCTGAGAGAGTTTTATTTATTTTATCATAATCAGCTCGGTAAAAGTTTAATTTTGATCGTGGTTTATTTTTTAAACAGGGTATTGACAGATCAGATGCGTCGAGCAATAAAGAAGGACGATATTTATCCTCAGAAACAAGATATATTTGAGAACGGGTAACGTCTATGTTTATGTTACTAAACACTAAGTCTAATACGTTGCCACTATAGTTGCTGATAATATTATGTTGATTTAGCCCTGATAAGTTGCATAGATCAATTAACTTTACTGCAGCATTTTGTAATTCTACTGGACCTTGCTTAAGCATGACGGGACCTGAAGAGGACCAGGATATATTCGCTAGGTTGAAGTCACCGGCAACTATAAAATGATCATTTGGAATTGAGTTATGATTTTTGTGAGCATTTCTGAAAATTATCTAAACGCTTTGATTGATAATTATCATGTGGTATATAAACAACTCCAATGTGTAAATTATGTCTGTCTTGACAACTTAAATATTTTCCTGGTACTGTTACCCACAAACATTCGAGATCTCTACACATCCATTCCGTCCGTTCTTGAGCTTCTAATTGTGTGTACGTACAAATCATAACTCCCCCACCCTTCTTTTTATGCGAAGATGTTTTATTTCTATCATACCTAAATATGTCGTACCTGTTGTCACACAATTCACCGTTGTAAATACCATCAGTTAACCAAGTTTCAGTAATGAGTATTATGTTGAAATTATTACAAATTATACTGTCTCAAAATTGCTTAGTTTTAGTTCGCAAGCCACGGACGTTTTGATAGAATACGTACATTGAGTTATTATGCACTTTTAGCATGATTTAGGTACCATTGTGTTGTAATTAACTTATAAAAATTATATTTATCATAATATTTAATAGTAATGTAGATAATAATTATATTATGTAACAGAAGTAATACAGATTGAAGAGTCATGATGGATGGTTTTGCAACTGAAAGGAATTTTCTTTTTATACAAGGTAAGAAATGGTAGCTTATACATTTCTTTTGTAGGGTATATTGGTGTAAATATTTAGTATTACTGTAAATTTTAAAAGATGTGTGTGAATGTAAGATTTTGATGTATGTAGTAATGAATGTGTAAATTGTGAGGTTTGTTTTATGTGTTAAATAAGTAACTATTAATATTAAAACATATCATGCTAGTACTATCAAAATTAATCTTATCATACAATTTTTAATAAATCTTTTACGGAATTTATAGTGATAGCAGAAGACTCCTCGTTTTTCCTTAAAAAAATGTGGCAGTTTCTCACCCAGACAAACTTGTATGATTTGGCCATTGCTCGTGATTTTACTGTCTTCAAGAGTTGCTTATTCTCAGGGGTCAAGTGTTCATTAACAAAAACCTTTTGGCTGGACCACCTAGTTCAATATCAGAAGTAGTAATTCCTTTGGTTTTGCGTAGCCCTGAAATAATATTATCTTTAATAGTGCGATTCTGAAGTTTGACTATAATGTTTTTTGGGCGACCTCCAACATTCTGCATAGGCTGGACTCTGTGCGCAGAAACAATTTGATCATTGGTAAGCTTAATTCCTGCATGGCTGGCTATTTTGATTGTTAATTCAGAAATTGATTCTTTTGAGTTTTCAGGTAGACCAACAATCTCTAAGTTCGAAAGCCTGCCCCATTGTTGCTCTTTTTTTATTTGAGCACATAAATCCGTCAGTTTCATTTCGCCATCTTGGACATTTTGTTGAAGTTTTTCAAAATTACTTTTGAGATTGTTGTAGTCATTTAGCAAACTGTTATGCGATTCTTCCAGCTGTTTAAGGTTACTAGTTATTTCATTTTTTATTTCCGTGATAAGTGATAATTTCAACTCTTGAATTATATCGACTTTTATAGCACTAAGTTTTTTGTCCAACAGTAACTCTATGATATTAATTAATTGATAGGTGTTGGTTGGTCGGAACTTTTGTTTGATGGTCTAATCATAGTTTTATCGTGGACGATTTTAGAAGGAGACTTATTAGAGCGTATCGGAGTGTTACTGTTGTCACCACCTCTTCGACAAGAAGCAATGCAAGCGGGACACTTCCATTCAGATCTTGAAGCAGTATCATTATTAAAATTTATGCACTCTGAATGGTAATTATGCGAACATTGTGTGCATTTTATTCGTTTTTGTGTAACACTTATATTTGCTCTGCATGCTTCACACCTTCCGCCCATTTTACTATTGAATAAAGCGTTAAAATTCAGAGAATGCTATATAAATTATAAGTACAAAAAGTGCGTTAACTCCAATTTACAATGTAGTGGACTCGATCCTCCGTCACTTTTGCACACCGTCAGACCGTTCGACCAGCACGCCTTGAACTGATATGATGAAATTTTTGATCTGCTTGTACGATATCTCCTTCAAGTATTGTTAAAGGGTAAGCTTAATTGATTTTGCTAATTTTTCTTAACTTAGACCACTTTTATCAAAACTATTCACCAATGTAATTTGTAAAACTATTATAATCTCACAACTATTGCACTATACCACTGAATAACGCTGTTTGATACGTTTAACGATTAATTTGATCAGAACACTTTTTAACACGTCCACCCACTTAATGTCGGTACGTTGGAATATGGCACAATCTTAGAATCTGTGAAAGAATTTAAATTACTCGGTATAAATATAGACATTCACTTGAATTGGAAAGCGCATGTCCATAGAGTGATGTCTAAACTTTTGAGATTTTCATATGCATTACGCGAAATTAAAAAAAAAGTACCAACATAGAAACGGCAATTAAAACCTACTATGCGTATGCGCACGCTTGGCTGAGTTATGGCATCATTTTGTGGGGCAACAGAACGAATGCAGCCTCTCTTTTCACCCTTCAAAAGAAATTAATCCGGATTATAGCAAATATAGTCCAGACTGATAGATGTAGACCGTTCTTTTTTAAATATAAAATATTAACTTTACCCATCTTATATATATATATATATATATATATATATATATATATATATATATATATATATATGAGATATGTAAATTTGTTCGAAAAAATAAGCATTTTCATGCAAAACGTGAAGATTTACCATGCAAATACATGTTACGACACAAAAATAAATTAGTATTGCCAACTTCCCGATTAAAACTAAACAGTTCTAGCACATTAAGTTCTTCCATAAAATTATATAATAAACTACCTGACATATTAAAAAATGAAAATAATGACATCATATTTACAAAAAAATTAAAACACTACCTAACCAATAAATGTTACTATAGTACTAATGAATATTTTACAAATATGTAATACTTATATAGTTTTTACAAAATGATCACTAATTTCAATTGAATTCTATCTCAATAAATCACAATGGCATTCTTATAAGTAGTTAAATACGCTTCCTCTCTCCTAGCCCCTAAATTGCGTGCCCAACAGGGTCCATAACACTGATGTTCGCGCTAAACGCTAATTTCAGGAACGAACGCGAGAGGGCGCGCGGCTCAGTGTCATACCGGTTTGACATTCGGTCATGCGTAAAACGCCCAAGGGCAGTCAGTCGTCTTTAAGCAGTGCTAACGATTGGCACGCTGTCATTTTTATCGGGAACTCGGAATAATTAAGCGCGGACAGTAAAAATACGGTCTAGGATTTGTGGCGCGCATCCCTACTGGAGAGCTTCCCCGGGACACATTGTGTCTGACTCAGAATCTGCATAAGTGCATTCGGCAATATTAGCTAGTGCGGCCTCTGATATTCTAGAACTAACTGTTGCAACGCGAAACGGTAGCGACCTTTGATCCAGAAACTCCGTGTGCGTTTTGTGCGGTAACCTTATACCCCGCGATAGTTAGTGGCTTCTGTAAGTTAGTTAATCGCACGATAGAGTTAATTGACTGTCATCGTGACGAACGAGGAAAGTGAATGTGGACAACGCCTCGGAGGGCCCCTTCAAGTTGGAGCGGTGTCGACGCCCGGGCTGCTGCCGACGACTAAGGTCTAGGTTCAATCACCATCAGTCACACCCAGATACACATCACATCACCTTCTTTCCCTTGCACTACACAACCACATGCGACCTGACCAACTCCGGAGGGACCAGTATCCTTGGATATAGGTAAGTAAGCTACGTCCAAATTCCTTCCGGTCGACTGGCCGTAGTATAACGCTCCCCCATATATTTTAGTGTAATTAGAGAGATTCCACGTGGCCATATTCTGGCCCCGTCTCTCTGCTGCTCGTCGATGGGATTACTCATGGGCCCCAATCCCGTCACGCTTTGGTTGGGGCAGCTAGGGGCGTGTACAACTGGTCTCACATTATTTTATAACATCTTGTGTACATTTTGGTTTAGCAATAAAAGTTTGAGCTTGAGTTTGAGTTGGAGTCAAATCTGCACATTTAATACACAATACACACTAATTTATTATTCATATAAAAAAAAAACAAAAAGCACACATTAAAAATTTTGGTCTTAATTTAAGTTAAGGCTTGACCCATTTGAAATCCAGATATATCTGTATTCACACTGTATGGTTAGTAATTGATTTTTATTTCAATGCCACTTTGGGCAAAATGAATGTAAGAAATTAAAACACAACTTCTGACCCAAACATTACTAAAAAGCGAAGCTTTGATGACTCGCCATCGGCGAAGCTTATCTTTTCAAAATCAGTCCAAATAGAGAACAGCATTTACAGATTAAATAATACATTTATATTTTTAGAGTTTGCTGATGTTTGTATCTTTTAGAGTTTCCTATGGTAACGCGATAAAAAAAAACTGAACATTCTATTTCTACTTCTTTCCGACTGTGAGAAATACCAGAAATTTCTACTCCGAGAGATGGTGGTCCCATCCCATATCGCGGTCTAATTTATGTCAAACGTAAAATATACAGACCAGTGACAGGAAGTGGAGTTAAACTGCAAGCTGTTTGTTACTACGATCGCCAATCCACATGCCAAGCGTGCTGATTATACTGAATCTTCTAATCAAACGAAGAGATATATAATAAATAATTTTTTTTAATAAAATTTTGTATAAAGATAAGTAACTAAAATAAGAAAGAATTGATTTTCTTCTTCTTCATCTTTGCCAGCGTACAAAAGTCCACAGACGGACATGGGTATCTCCCGTTTCAGGAAGCCCGGCGCCTGGCGGTAGGTAATTCACGTCTTGCGCAAACAATATGGTTATACCGCCATCCATCGAAAACATTTAGATTCTGACATCACTCAGAGCCCTCCTACAAGAACTATAAGACCAATTTTTTTATAGGATAGGGTGACAAACGAACGCACAGTCCAACTGATGACAAGTGGTTGCTGTGGCCCATAGACATATACATCTATCCTTACGAATCAAAATGCAGATGCGTTGCAACCCCTGAGAACTAAGATGGAACGCCTCTCTTTCAGTAAAAAGGGTATCTGGTTCTCTACACTCACCATACGAAACACAGCAGCATTAAGCTGCTATTTTGCGCCGGTATTCAGTGAGAGCGTGGTCCTTCCCCTGTTGAGCCGACCCATTCTCGCTACAACTATACTATTAATATAGCTGCAGCATGGCTCTACCACGTAAAATTATTACTTATTGAAGAACAAACATCCAAATGAACACATTTTGGCATTTTATCAATATTCTGACTGCCCTATTGGTCTAGTGGAATTAAGCACGGCTGCTAATCTGCTGAAGTTACAGGTTCGAATCTCGGGTTAGGCCAAAAATCCGTTATTTAATTTAGCTATCTGTTAAAAAATTCTCAGTACCACCCGGAGTCAGGAAGTTGGCGATGTTTGATCCCGTCCCTCGGAAAGCACGTAAAATCTTTGGTCTTTATATCTCTCTTCGGTCTTGTCAGATTGTCGTCCCATCGGACTATGAGAGTAAAGGAATAGAGAATGCACAAGCACAAGCTTGCACATACACTCGGGTACTGTAGTGTGACATTCGCACCAGTGATGGGTCGCGTATTGACCAATATTTGATCTGGAGGACATATACTGACACATAATATCTTTGTTAAATATTCCGCAATATTGTGTATAATGACATTATTGCGCAGTTTTAGGTTTAGTTAAATACCAGTAGTAATCAATATCAATGTGTTAATCAGTATTAAACGTTTTATAAGGTCAATTTTAAACTTCATTTGACAAAGTGCTTGCTTTCTCAGTAAATTTTACAGAAGACTGTTAAAATGAACACGCTATCGGAAGAGCGTGACCAGAAAACCGATCCACCTAGTGCAGTGCAACGAAAACAAATGGAGTGTTGTAAATTCGATTTTACCATGTTATAAATTCCAAATAATTCATAGATTCTCTCATTGGGAGGATATTTAACATAGCTGCCACGCTTGGCAGGTGGGTTGGCAACTGCACTTTCTTTATATTTAGAGTTGTTATCCTGTTTAATTTCCCTCTGTCGTCTCTTGCGACACCCGTAGGATTGTAAGGGGTTGTGGATTATTTTATGACGCCTGTAAACTTTAAAGTTCTTTATATGGCTTGCCTTGAAGATTTAAAATACATATTTCTTTATATTTTTGTTACATTATCTTATGACCCAAAAATGTTTTTAGAATTATCGTCCCCCTCCTTTTTAAGATTTCAATTCAACGAACTCTATATGATTGAATAATTTTAAAAACCCTTCCTTAGCTCATAATTCGAATTTTTCAAATTTGTACATGCACAGAAGAAACAAATGAAAATTTTACTATTATTGCATTTTTTTAAAATTTAATTTTAGGGAACCCTCAGTGTTTTAGTCATTCATTTACTTGATGGGTTTTACTCTTGAAATGAGACGCTACAGGCATCAAAATAAATTTAATTGTAACAGTGGTGTAATTCAAAATCTAAAATTGGCATAAAGTAACAAAACTTTAAAACTATAGATATAACCTATTTAGGTATAACTTATTCTAAATAAAAAAATAACCAACTTAGCTTTGAAATAATCCAAGAAAATGAATCTATGTAAACGAACTAGCGAGCACAGCTAAAAGGTTCTCTCATGTTACTGTTTTCTTTGAAATAATCATCATCATCATCATTATTATTACAGCCCTTCACAAGTCCACTGCTGAACATAGGCCTCCCCCAAAGAATGCCACAAAGCACGGTCCTGAGCCACTTGCATCCATCGACTTCCTGCATATCTTACCAGGTCGTCACTCCATCTAGTGGGGGGACGCCCTACACTTCG